TTTGTGTTTATTTGCAATGTTAAAACACACATATATAAAGTCTACTTGTAACCATTATTGGTACACATTTTCAGTCAAGTGCACACTTGTGTGTTATACTGACATGTTCAACTGACAAACTCAACTAAACAAACAGTAATGTAAATACATTATTTTTTCTTACCGTCTGAAATGAATGACTTTGTAGAAAGTAATATGAATGAATAATACAAGAAGACACTGCTCTCAACAGTGGCACTGTGCCAGGAGGAACAATTGGTAATATATAACTGACCTGAAACAGTATGTATTTGCACATTATTCCAAGGAAAATAAGGTTTACTTTCTCACCCACTTTGACACTTTAGATCCTAGACCCAACCGCAGGATGTTTTAATTAGGACCATAAACAAAACATCTGAAATCAGATATAATGTGAACTTCATGCCTTCACAGTCTATAAGACTTCTTAAATCTGCATGCTTCCACACAATAATGTGTTAGTTTTATTTTGTACTGTTTTTTAAAGAGTCCTTAAGCACTGTGTAAGTTTGATGCATTATTATTATCTATCATGACTAATGTATTTCTCTCCTTTATAATTCTGTGAAAACTGTCTGTTTGCATCCATCTTAAATCTGATCTGAAGGTTTTGGAGAACCTTCTCCTTGACCAGCTTATGTCCATGGAGATGTGATTGCTTTGCCTGCAATGTTCCACAGTATGGCATTAGACTTATCTAATGCCAGTGATTTTAATGACATTTAAATGGATTTCAGTGATAAGAAATATGTTTTTCATTTGGTGTAAATGTCATGCAGTCCCTTTTTAAGACACAATTATGCATAATCTCAATACTAGAATACTTAAAACTTCTGCAGTTAGGCTCTGGAGGTGCTGCAGTCACACAAATGATCCGAGGAAAAGTATATACCAATATACCCTTACAGTATAAAGTCAAGATATTTAGGGTAATAGCACCAGTGTCACCAATTCTCACCACATCCTGTTGTTGGTCTGCACTTCTACCTTTGCCTCTGCACAGCTGTGGGGCCCTTCCACCTAAAGCGCTGCTTGCTTTTTGCCAGGAGTGCATTGCAGTGCTATGAATCTATAATGTAATCCCCCCAACATGTGGAGACAGACATCATTCAAATGCTACAGTACATTACAATTTCCCACAATCAGATATGTTGGAAAATGCATGGAAATCCAACACCTTTTCCCCTTCTCTCCCATGTAACGTATGCATTAGTGGTGTGCGTATTTAAACCTATTTTAGTGCATAGCTATGGTTTTATTGGTTGTGGTTTAGTGCAGTGTGCTAGTGTAGAGTTTTATAGAGAAAGAGTGCGTGGGGGAGGAGAATTGTGGAAGTGAATTATGCCTTTTTTTTCAAAGGGGAGGGGTGGTTATATATGTATGTGTATTGGTGGGGGAAGGGTAAATCATAGGCAGAACTGTATGTATGTGTGGGCTGCAGTGTGGCGTATATGCTTAAGAGAATGAGGTTTAGGCAAACTGCGGACTAGAGTTAACTTGTTTTGTAACGTTTCGATATTTTGGCAAGTTGCTGTGCTGACAACAATATTTACAATTACTTTCAACTATCTAGCATGCTTGCTGGTGAGAATCCTGCACTAATTGCAAGTCAAAATATGCACCTCAGGCAGTCATTATGGTAGCAAATGCTTATACTGTTTATATTTATTAGTGTTGTTGATCATATTGGAGAAGAAGTATTTAGTAGGAGAAAGTTTCAACAGCAGAGACTAGCCTATAGCATTATAAAATCATAATAGATAGATAGATACATACATATATACTGAATAAAATGACGTGGGGGTCTGGGGTAATTTTTTTCTACAATACATACATACTGGTACATGCATACATACAGTACATTCATAGTTAGTTACTTAGATTGATAGATAGATACATACATACACATACTGGTGCAAACATACATACAGTACATACATAGTTACTTAGAGATGGATAGATTTATTGAAACATAGACATGCATACATACATACAGTACCTACATAGTTAGTCAGTTAGTTTGATTGACAGATAGATAGATAGATGCAAACATATTTTCACTGTGCGACCCCTACTGCAAACCTTCATAGATATAGGGTTAATTCCTTAGTGGAGCTCTACCGATGCTGCCAAATGTAAATTCAAAGACAATAATAACACATTTCACTGCAGGTTGTGTCTGTGTGCAAACTGCATACATTACTGTGATACATTTATGGTTGTGTGAACAGGTGCAGGTGAGAAAGAAAAGAAAGAGAGAGAGAGGGGGGGGGGGGGGGGTGGAGGGAGGGAAGGAGGGGGTGTGTGGGTGGAGGGAGCTGCTCTTTGTTTATCTGCATCTGTTTATGTCTTTTTTATTTATTTTTTTACACAAAATATAAATGTGTCCTGTCGTTAGAAACACACTGCGCTTTTCGCTGCGTTTCAACTGTTCAGGTTGTTTTTCTCAAAGACTGATGGCACTTGCCTGCTCTGTTTAATTTACTCTAATCAAAAGGTGACACGCAAAGGATTTTATTGAATTCACTTGGAAATAATACGTATTTCAGAATAAAGGTGGCAGATGCAAAATGGAGTTTTATTATCACTCATTGTGTGGAATTCATCAATGTCGCATTCATTGCTGTTCACTAATGGCAATGAAACTTTCTTATTCTAATAATATCCGACTATTGCAGTATATCATGAGTTCTATAGCAACACAAAAACCTATTCTAGATAAACGATGTGTACAAATGTGACGTTATTATAATTATATACACGCACAAACTATATGCAGCAATATCCAACAGGCTCCCAAGTACACCAGGGGGTGCTCATTTTACGCATATTTGAAGAGGTTTGAACATAAAACAGCATAAGGAAAATATGAAGAAAGTAACAAAACGCAACAAAAGTAAGTTCAGAGCATCAGCCACACAGCATAGTTTAATGTAAAGTGTATAAACCCCAGGATCCCCATAGAAAAATAACCCAAACATTTAACCAATCTTGGCATCTGTGCAACAGCAGCACAGATACGATAAGTATGTATTTCCGTAGTAAGTACAGGAGAACTACAGGTTGAGCTGAGAACATAATGAACAATAGAGTCATGCAGTTGTTGCTTATGGACTTGAATCAAATCTTGTAAAGTACTATTATTTTTTACTATGTTTCCAGAAGGCTTGGGATCAAACAAATCAAGCATTTTTTGTACAGACAAAAGAACAATACAGCAAACTTTTCAAAGGACGTCCAAAATGTTTGAGTTGTCAACAGCAGATATCAAACAAGTATGGCAAGGTAAGTGTATTTGTATAGCACAGTTCACACACAAGGCAAAAAAAAGCTTAATAATAGAAGAATATAAATTAAAATCATACAAGGCATCTTTAAAACCATCATTGCTACAGAAAAACACATTTGATTGCATTGAGCAACAAATAATGATATTACAGTTACTGAGAAAACACCAACTACAGTTACTGGTGTCTAACGTCTTCTTAAATTCATTAAAGTATTGAATGCGCCAAAAGTGACAAACCCACAGACAGAATTCTGCTTCATAAAAATCCCTCTAATTTACACAGGAGCAGTGATACACAGTATCTACAGTCTCAAGAAAGTCATGCTGGTTAATATCAATTGTTCTTCACCAGTATCTTTCCTCAAACTTGAAGGCACAAATCATTAAACTATATGACGATGAAATAAACGTCACTATAATATGTGCTTGATGAAGTAGAGAAATATAAAAGAGAAATGTATAATACACTTTTAACACTAGTCCAACATATTCTTTTTAAGATTATAGAGATTATTATTAAGTATATGCAGAACAAAACATCACTAATTCCATAAGATTGCCAAATTAATTTTTCCTTTTCACTTTGGCTTTTATATGGTGTTCTCCCCATGACCTATAGTATATGAATTGGCTACTTTTCATCCTGTGAGGGTGAGTCAACACAAGCACATGCTACTGTGTTCTGAGCCTGCAAAAGAATAAAGTATTTCAAAGGGCCTTAAATCACAAATATGTAATCAGTAATGAGTAACTATTCACTCAGCCACCGTGCCGGCTGAGTGGCTGAGTGGATAGCACTCTCGCTTCTCAGCAAAAAGATCCTGGGTCGAATCCTGGTTGGACCAGGGCCTTTCTGAGTGGAGTTTGCATGTTCTCCCCGTGTCTGCGTAGGTTTCCTGCAGGTACTCCGGTTTCCCCTACCTCTAAAAACATGCACAATAGGTCTGGCATGCGCTTCCTGTACTGGAGTGAGAGACAAATGCCCAAAAATAAAAATTGTAAACCGCTTTGTGACTCTGGTCTGTGAAAGGCAGTATATAATAAAGATTACTCACTTGATATATGATGGATATTTATGTGTCAATGTTTGAATAGAAATAAACAGATACATTAATAATTAGTTCACATATATAATAACATAAGAACAGCCTGATTTGAGAAATGACTGATTCTATTTTTGCGACATGATCATTTCCCAAAATAAAGCTCACTTCCGGTCTGTGGACACGCACGAGGGGCTTTTATTGTGAAACCAGCGCGCTGTTTCCGGCTGCGCTTTGTGCCGGCGCCTTGAACATGGAGCTTCTCTTTGTATTGAGTTAAGTCCGCGAGGTTTGAGGCACAGCACCACGGAGAGAGCAAGAGCGCACTGCCGCCTGAACTACAGTCCCACCGCGGGACACCACATCCACCAGCCCCTGTCCCCAGCTCCTCACGGGACACGGACCACCAGGGACTCTCTATCCTGCTCTTTTCGCTCCTCGCTCCGGGATCAGTGAAGTGCGTTTTCCCGGGAAGTTTGATCCACTACTGCGTGAGCCGGTGCGCACACATAGGCAACTTAATTTAACCGCTTAAAATCTCTTCAAAACGCCATCAATGCGTGTCCAAACTTTATAAAGCATCACACTCGCAAACGGAGAAGAAGCAATCAGTCTGAGCGTTAGAGTTAGTGGATGTATCGCGGATCATGGATGTAAGCGTGTACCCGCCTCCCCCTCAGCCACTGTCCGCTACAGACCACAGCAGACTGGGACAGCTCTCCTACCAGGACCCAGCCTTTGGAAACAACAAGGTGGGACACATTCATTTGCGTATTATAAACCCCCAATATGTTTCATCTGTGCCTTATCAGCCTCTGTTGGTGTTTTCATCTGCGCGCGCGCCATGCCAATTAACTTGTAATTAATTGCGTTAATAGACTGCAGTTAATTAAGGAGTAAGTGAAAGAAGGTTTAACCTCATCTTGTCTTTTTTCACCAGATCCACCCATTTCACAAAGGCATGCAATTTATGTCCAGGCTTAGTGTCACAAGGGTATGATACCTTATAATTAAGGATTCAGCGCTCCTAATTGGAGGGTAATTACCGTAAATAGGAGCAATTTTAAACATAGCAGTCCATTCTGTAAAAATTATATGCTTTTCGTCATTATGCATTTGCGCCTTTTGGGAGTCTGCTAATTAGTGCGTCTCTAAGGTGTCTAGATAGTGTCTCCATAGAGTGAAAAGGCCAAGATCAGAGCCAGAGGTGTGTATTATGGTTGGACAAGGCAACCTGGGGCCATCACAGTGCCCCGTTTGATGCTGGCTGTGTGTGGACTAACTTACATGGGGCTATTGTCACAGTGGGGTGTTGGACTCAGTGGGACCTGCCTCCTGTGGCAGTGATGAATGGCTAAATTATGTCATTAGGCCTGGAACAGTGCGGTCAAGTTTATTAACGACTAGTGATATGGCTTTTCAATCATTGTGCATCAGATGATATTCAAGCATCAACGATTCTTTAGGATTACATGAAGCATTTTTACATTTCTTCATGTCTTTGGCAGTTGTATCGATTTGAGGTGGGAAATATACACCAAACATGTAATTTCATGAATGCAGTTTTCAATCAATGGGACCTGTATTAGTCCCACAGTGGGGATATTAAAGGTATTATCAGTTATATAGCTTAAATGACGGCAAGACACGAAATTAAAAATAACAATTCCTGCACCGGTCCATGCAGAACTTGAACCACATTGTAGCATGTTTAGTGCAATCATATGATGGATTGACACTTTATCCTCCAATATCAAATTACTTCAATACTATTCTATTGCAAAATATTGTCAATATCGCATATACTAATAACAGTCAAACATTTAATAGAATTGAGATGATGCAGTTCTTCCTGGCTATTACAGATTTGCAGGTTTTGAATCATAAAACAAAAAGTATAAATGAACAAAACTTTTACATTTCTATTTCGAAGATTTGCATTTTTCCTTTTCACTTTAGCTATTATAGATTTATAGTTGCATGTCTAGTGTTTTCCCTATGACCTATAGAATATGAATTGGCTACTTTTCATCCTGTCAGGGCGAGTCAACATGAGCGCATGTTACTGTGTACTGGGGCTGCAAGAAAAAAAAAGAAAAGAGTAATTGGAATGGTCGTAAATTACAAATACTGAGCATTTCTTTCTTCAGCAAAATATTCCATGTGACTTGCTCTCTGTGTTTGGACGTTCTCAAAGCAAAGTGAACCTCTGCAATGCATGGAATTCTTGTTTTAGTTTAACGGTTCATATTTCAGTCCTCTCTCAATTGTCAATGCTGGACAAAGAGCAAGTTAAACTGAATACTGCTGGTAATAAAGAAATCCATTTTAAAGATGTTTTTTTTCCAAATGGTCTTTTTCCGTTGCAAAATAAATGTGGAGTTAAAAAGACTGTAATTGGATTTGGCATTAGGTATTACATCAAATGTCAAAATAAGATACATTAAAACTAAATGAAGTGAAGTTAACTAATACACAGGGAAAGCTGTGCTGTTCTAACATTGACTCATAGTGTCTATATATTTGCAAAAAAAAGTCATAAAAATTTTAAATGGGTATTACTACTATATTACTATTTCATTTAATGGTTTGCACAATGTGAGTTGATGACCGAGCCTCATTTGGCTCAGTATTTCTTGAGGTGAAATGTACATTAGTGCCTTGATTGTGCTATAATAAATCCCTTTTAAACCCAATCCTTTCCTAGAGTTTGGACTTGGACTGAAATGACACTTTCTGTACAATTGAGTGGGAATTTAAGACGTTATGTTTGAGTTTGCCCACCAAAGACTGCCTGTGGTTAAGCAGAAAGTCTTAGTTCTTTTAATTAAGTTGACAAAGCTTGATATAGAGGCTTTTCACATGTGCACAATTATAAGAACTATTTCATGCGCTGCCTTGAGTCTCAAAACCACATTCAATTACTCACAGCTGCAGATATAATGGAACGGACTGTATATGTGTGAGCCATAAAAATGCACATTCTTAAAAAATACAAAAAGACGAAGCGGCTTGTGTCAGTATGGCTGATAATAACTATTGAACTGAGAGTGTATGCGTTTTAACCTCATTTTTGTAATGACTAGAAAGAGTGCAATAGTTGTGGGTTGCAAACACACATTGTCCTTCTATAGGCGAAAAACTAGAACGCAAAAAAGCCACCACAACGTTCACAAGAAGATATGTTATGAAATGACAGCATGACAGAAACCTGCGCACATCAGTGTCATGTAAAGTCTCACTGATCCACCAATGTAAATTAATTATAGTCGCACTTCTGGAGGTGACACCTGCATCACTCTGGGGAAATAGAACGTTAAAAGTGTTAGGGATGTTACATGTATTATGAATTATAAAACCAGAAAGAAGTGTGGAGGCAAGCTTGTTTCGAAAGTTGTTTTTATGCATCAAAAGCACAAACAATGACAAATAAGTTATGTTTGGGATTCATTGCTCGGGCTCAAACCACCTCATGCTGTTTAATTAGCCTGGTAGAATCCACAATGCTTCTATTGACCAGCAAGAATGATCTGAGTGAGATTGACATTTAAAACAACAATCCTCTAATTATTGTGGTGTAATAATATAATCATTAGCGGCACAAGTAGTAACTGTGTTCATCATCTTGATAGGATTGAAAAGTCATATATTTACACACATGCTTTTCAAAAAGTGTATGATCTGAATAAGTATTAAGTAAAGTTTATGTATACGGCACATTTCACAGACACAATAAGTCATAAATTGCTTCACATGTTCAAATATGACTAGATTATGACTGAAAAGACTGTAGAAGTGTATGGAAGGAAGAAAGAGGTCTATGGTCAGAGAGTGTTTGGGCCTAAGTTTTGTGTGTGTGTGTGTTGTTTGTGTTCTGTGAATGAGTTGGAGCCAAATAAGCTTTTGCTCCGTTCCAACCCCTTCACAAACTGTCTTGTTCACACTGTATTTCTGTATATTGTTTGTTTTATGTAATTTAAAACATTTATGAAAATTATAAAGTATGAAATACATTTATACTCCTGCTACTACAACACAGTTTAAAATACAACAAAAGCAAACATCTAGCAGGGCTTTTGTGTGGCAGAACTGCATGGCTTGAAAACATAATATTTCAGTAGAATGATGCTTGCTGTTGCTAAATCAGATTTGGAGAAACTCAATACAACTCATATGTGTGATCGATCCTGGCTTACATCAACCACAGCCGTATATAGAGCCGTGTTTATGACTTCTTCAAGTAAATATAATGGACTTTTTACGTGGTATTTGGTTTTTTTGTGTGAGTTTTTTTAACTTAAGATTAAAGGTTGAGAATGTGCAGTACAGTAATGTCAGCCAGTGTGTTTCATAAAGACGGAGATGTAGATGGCATGGTTGGGGGTAGGGATAGGAGAGAGAGGGAGAGAGTTGGGGGTAGGGATGTGGCTATGTATTGGTGCCGATGGGGGTGGGGCCATAAAGGTTTGCACTATTTTTCCCTGTGTCTTTTGATTCACGGCTCGCTGGAACTGATAGACAAGTATTACTGCTTGGAGTGATGGGATAGAAACAGAAACGAATTGAAAAGGAGTTTTTTTTTTTTTTACAAGTGAAAATAAATGAGAAAGAGGGGTGTGCCTTTACTTTACAGATGTGAGGAATGGACTGATGTATTTGAGAGTTTCTGAACCCATTCAAATAACACTGAACTATTCTAAGTTAAATGCATTATAACAGTATCTAAAATACTTTATTGTGTATTGTATTGTAAGCTGTATTCAAGCAGCAGCCATGTTTCAAAGGTATGCCGTTCTTTGATATATTCACACAAGGGATTTCAATTCCTAGCTACATGGAAATGTTGGCTATAAAGCACGTTTTTGGGGGAATTCCAATTTGAGTGGTTGCAATTAACAAATGGCAAAGTCTGGCAAACATAATTCCCATCTTATATGTCTTTCAATGCATCAAACAGTAGCCCTGTTTTAAAGTATATATATAATTCAGCCCAATTTTTGCCAGCTTCCTCAATGATGTTCATATTGTTAATGTTGTCATATTAGAATCTTGCAAAACTTCCCCAAAAGCTGTCAAATGATGCCAAATGATTACATCTTGCTGTTATTATTTCAGCTAGAAGACAATAGTAAAGATTATTCCAGCTCAGTAAAGAGACAGTATTGTAATTGCATTGTTGTATTATTTATAGATATCAAAATGGCATCAAATGTAGTCACCGGCGAATGAGACTCCACACATCATGCTAAAGTTATTTCCAGGCCTCTGATTCATATAATTGGTTTAACATTTGGACAGCAGGGCGACTCGAGTATGCAAACATATAGTGAAAGAAAATGTTTTAAAATGGACAGAAAGAGGAACAGAGATGGTGGGACAGCGGCGAGAGGGAGACAGGGTGTAATGTAAACACGATGATTGTGAAAGCTGGGTGAGGTATTTCTAAAGCAAATAGACTGATGGGAGACAGCGAAGGTTGGGAACGAAGGACACAGAAAAATGTGAAAAGATCATCCTTGTGAAAAGACATGGAGATGATTGGGTTCAGTAGCTCGTATTTCGATTGTGTGATATTGAATTGATGTTCATTTAATACGTGAAAAACATTTTGATGTGACATAATGTTGTATGTGTCATTGCATGCTCCTGTGTGAGTCATAGAGTCATTGACGTCGGCAAAATACATACAGGTGCAAAGCATGTCAAAGCATGATTGTTCTAAATTTGACTGTTTTTGTAAGTTAACTTGATT